CAATGAGCTCCTTATTAAAAAAAAATAACATTTTTCACTTAAAATAAGAAAAGTTTAGAGCATGTTTGGATGAGCATAAATGTAGCTTACAAGATAGGTTTTTTAAAGTTAGTTGTAACTTTATTTTAATCATATATAAAAAAATATTGCTATAAACTTGTTATTTTTAAATACTTCCCTATGCTACTATTTTCCCGAAGAATGTTCAATAAATCCTAAGTTTAGTACCAAAATTACAAGTTAATTAAATCAATGCCCACTGAACTTTACTTTAAGTTACCACTTGCTCATTTAACAAAAAAAAAAAAAAAAGTTACCCACTACTCACTCATTTATTCAAACGTTTACACATCTATCATTCCTTTCAAATCCATTACCCATAATTAAAGGAAAACTCCACGTGCAGATGGAAAATTGAGGTGGCACATTTACACCGTTAATTTGTCCACCATCCGTCTGCATACGGGGTAAACATTTAAATAATTGAGTGAGCAATATGTAACTTTTTTTGTTCAATAAGCAAGTAGTAACATAGATAAAAGTTCAGTAGGCATTAATTTAATTAACTCCCAAAATTACAGATATTTTGAGCCCTTGACCCATAATTTATTTTTTGCAAGTTCTTAGGAATTCATTATTACAAGGAGACTTTTATCCCCTCCAAAACCACAAAATCAAACATTTTATTTACCTGCATAACTCGTACATAAGAACCCAAAGTTACTGTCCGGAATCCCGGCCAAGCTATAGCAACCCTCCTCCTTTACTAGACCTAGGATCAGTAGCGAAAACATAGTCAACTATTTCATGTTGCAATACCAAAAAGAAATGATCCGCAAACACTGAAACTAAGTACTGCTGCAATTCATGCATGTGTTCAGACGCTTCGAACTGGTGAAAATATCTATTAACAGACAGAGACGGTGCTGCTAATTTCAGGTAATTAAGAGAGACAAATCAACAAGATAGGTCGTTACAGATGTTCTGGTGCTTGTACCTTGAAACTTCAAGATCAAACTCCAGCTCCAGCCTCCAAGCAACCATCATATCAAATTGCTTACAACAAGGCTGTCATCCTCAAAATCCGTCAATCATGTGACCAACAAGACTCTGGCCGTCTTCTTATTCACCTAAACTTTGCCTGCACGCTGTACATGCCATTAGGATGCAAACGTCATTGGTCGAAAAAAAAAAGATCCAACGACCGTTTGCACTTCGACAGTCAAGTCAACTGCCGGAACAAAATAAATGGAGTGCAAGAAAGAGAGGAAAGGGGGGATTTGGATAGAGGAAGTAAAAACTTACCTTAAGTTTGAATGAGCATACATGTATATATAGAGAAGGGAAATGGGCCGCGGGGGGCTAATGGCCCAAGCCCAAGCCCAAGCCCAAGCCCAAGCCAAGATGAGTTTTCTTGATTCAATCGACCCAATTTAATTAGTATAATTAACCAATACGAAGTCATCCAACGCAGGAGCCCCTCTGTCTTGTGCTTGCCACGTAATTAATATGGATAACAAAGGCTACACACAGCTTGTTTGTTTGGCAGATAACAACAATACGAAATAAAAGAGACATTAGATCTGTTCCTTGAAAAATCACAAAAATCTATTGATGCAATAAAATGATGTTGCTGTAAATATCAGAATGGTAGACTGACCATCAAAAGAACACCTAAGATTTCATACGACCACGAAAACAGCAAGATTTCCTCATATAAGTAAAACAAAACGTAGATTTTAAAATGAAAAGATCATGGAAAGAAAAAACAGTTAAGAGCAAACAAGAAAATCACAACAATTGCCTTTTATGGCTGTCGACATTGAGTTTGTGACCTAACAGGTTTCTCAGGAACTAGCAATCATAGAAATCCTTTTTATTACACAAGAAGCATATGTACAGAAATTCATTTGAAACAGGATCATAATTTATCTCTCATTTCTTTTCTTTACTCACAATAAATGGATACCTTAAGGTATATTTCATACTGAAAGCTAATAAACTAGATGCATTCTCTTGTGCAGAACAACTTAAAATCTGTTCTAAATATTCACCCTACTCTTTTGATACAATATCACAACAGCAGCAGTCACACATGACAATGCCTTTTTAACTTCATAATGAACTCATTACCGTTTTACACAACATTCGGAATATTTGCAGTAAAACTTCAAGCTGATATTAAAACCAAAAAAAGGAGCATTGAAATATTTGTCCTAAGATATCATATAGTATCAAACTTAAGTGAAAATCTAATCTTCTACTTTTCTCTACCATTAAGTGCAATATGCACATAACCAAATAGCAATGCTGGAAATCAATTAACATTTGGAAATAATAATTCAGCGTTATATAAGGAGGAGCATACACAATATAATTATTAAGTCGAATTTGCATACATTATGATGGAGAAATTTCAAGACCACGTCTACTTTAAATGCATAGTGGAAATACATAATGCAAACTTATGCAGTGATACTATGCATACTCCGATCAACAATTCGTAAAGTGATTATGAAGCATATCAACATTACATATGAAGTCATGCATCATGATTCATGAAGCAGAAGCGGCCTTAATAGCTCTCTGCAACTCATTCTCCAAATCACCGGCTGGGTACCATTCCTCTTCAGCACTTTCTTCCCATTCCCATTTTCTTCTCCCTTACAGCTCTTCTTGCTCCTCGACTGTTTAAACTCACTTGAAGGACTCTCAACTGGTGGCATCCCCTTACCTTTAAGACACTCAATGGAACCTCTAGCATTACCGCTATTTCTTGCCAAATGTCCTACTTTCAATTCTTCTAACTCACGCTTCAACTCCCTATTTTCTATTTGTAAGACGTCCAACTCTCTTTTCATCCAAAAACACATGCCCTTTTAAACCTCCAAATAACCCGCATTTCCCTCATTTGTTTACTTTTCTTCCTTCAATGCCTCATCGACCTTTTCAATACCAATCTTATTAACTTCCAAGAATGTTGTTGAGGCTCGAACTGTCACGACCCGTCCCAAGTCACCCTACTAGACCTGACACGTGTCGTGCGCCGATGGTAGATAGCAGCTAAGTGCTAGCCCCACCACCAAGGCGACTATGACCTGTTCTAACTGTGACTCATTTCTATAAAAATTTTGGCAGAATTTCCCTTGTAATATGGACCAAAA